ACAACAAGGTGCAGGGCTGGATGAACACAGCAGGCCAAGCAGCATCAATCTAGCATCAATGCTAGCCTCTCTGCTCCTATGATGCTGCTTGGCCTGCTGTGTTCATCCAGCCCTGCAGCCTCTCTGCTCCTATGATGCTGCTTGGCCTGCTGTGTTCATCCAGCCCTGCAAGCCTCTCTGCTCCTATGATGCTGCTTGGCCTGCTGTGTTCATCCAGCCCTGCACCTTGTTGTCTATTCATGTACACATCCATATGCCTTTTAAATGTTGTAATTGTACCAGCCACCACCACTTCCTCTGACAGCTCATTCCATACATGCACCACCTTCTGCGTGAAAAAGTTTCCCCTTAGGTCCCTTTTAAATCTTTCCCCTCTCACCTTAAACCTGGACCCTCTAGTTTTGGATTCCCCTGCCCTGGAGAAAAGATCTTGGCTATTCACCTTATCCTCATGATTGTATAAACATCAATAAGGTCACCCCTCAGCCTCCAATGCTCCAGGGAAAATGACCCCAGCCTATTCAGGCTCTCTCTACAGCTCAAACCCTCCAACCCTGGCATCATCCTTGTAAATCTTTTCTGAACCCTTTCAAGTTTCACAATTAAGGGTGGCATGGTGGCTCAATGGTTAGCACTGCTGCCTCATTGCACCAGGGACCCAGGTTCAATTCCAACTTCAGCTGGCTTCTTTATTCATTCACAGGATGAAGACATTGCTGGCTATGCGCATTTATTGTCCATCCCTAATTGCCCAGAGGGCAGTTAAGAGTCAACCACATTGCTGTGGGTCTGGAGTCACATGTAGGCCAGACCAAGTAAGGATAGCAGTTTCCTTCCCTAAAGGGGATTAGTGAACCAGATGGGTTTTCCTGACAATCGACAATGGTCACCATTAGACTTATTGGATTTGAATTCCACCATCTGCCTTGGTGGGATTCGAACCCAGGTTCCCAGAATATTACCTGGGTCTCTGGATTAATAGTCCAGCGATAATACCACTAGGCCATTGCCTCCCCCACACTGTCTGTGTGGAATCTGCACATTCTCCCCGTGTCTATGTGGGTTTCCTTTGGGTGCTCCAGTTTCCTCCCACAGGCCAAAGATGTGTAAACTTAGGTGGATTGCTCATGCTAAATTGCCCATATTATCCAGGGATGTGTAGGTTAGGTGCAATAGCGATGGGAAATGCAGGATTATAGGCATAGGGAAGAGGTTGTGGGTCTGGGTGGGATTCTCTTCAGAGGGTCGGTGTGGACTTGTTGGGCCAAATGGCCTGTTTCCACACTGTAAGGATTCTATTCTCTTCAATATCTTTCCTATAGCAGGGAGACCAGAATTGAATGCAATATTCCAAATGTGGGCTAACCAATGTCCTGTTCAGCCATAACATGACATCCCAACTCTTATACTCAATGCATTGACCAATGAAGGCAAGCGTACCAAATGCCACCTTCACAGCCCTGTCTACCTGGGACTCCAGTTTCAAGGAACTATGAACCTGTACCTCAAGGTCTCTTTGTTTGGCAACACTCCCCAGGGCCTTAGCATTACAGTTATAAGTCTGCCCTGATTTGCCTTACTGAAATACAGCACCTCTCATTCATCTAAATTAAACTCCTTCAATCACTCCTTGGCCCATTTGCCCATCTGATCAAGATCTCATTGTACTCTAAGGTAACCCTCTTGTATTTACTACTCATCTCATATATTAAAACAAACTCTTGCAGCCTTGTGACCAGAATGTTTGACAGTTAGTGGAGATCAAAATTCATGCCGACTGTGCTGATTATAATGAGGTCAGCCAGGTGGACCTGATAGAATGAGTTTCTTGATTGGACCAGATTAACAGCCCCAATCAGGGAGCCCTGGCTGACAAATATAAACAGGAGGGTCAGAGCTGGCTCTGAGGTGATGAGGGTAAAGCACACTCCTATGGAAATTCACACACAACAGCCATTTTTGAGTTGGGGGTAAGCATTTCTGGCATCATACTGTTAATTGGGAAGCTGACTCATTCAATCCTGCTGTCAAAGTTGGGCCCAGTATATGGAAAGAATGCATGATATTTTCTGGGCATATGACAATGGGGCAAATGAAAAGCAAAGAGTAAAAATTCCAACAGCTTTATGGACCTGCAACTTTTTTGGTTATTAGGAGTGTAACTTTCCCTGAGGCACCAGATATTGAAACTTTTCAAAAGTTGATGGATTTAGTTAAGGAATATTATGACCCCAAGCCTCTTCTAATTTTAGAGTTGTAGAGCTGTACAACATGGAAACCAACCCTTCCGTCAAAGTCATCCATTCCGACCAGATATCCCAAATTAATTTAGTCCCATTTGCCAGTGTTTGGCCCATATCTCTGTAACCCCTTCCTATTCATGTACCCATCAAATGCCTTTTGAATTGTACTAGCCTCCACCAATTCCTCTGGCAGCTCATTCTATTCACGCACCACCCTCTGTGTGAAAAAGTTGCCCCTTAAGTCCCTCATAAGTCTTTCCTCTCTCACCTTAAACTTATGCCCTCAGCCTGGGGAAAAGACCTTAGCTATTCACCATATCCATGACCGCAATGTCAAAAGTCACACAACACTAGGTTATAATCCAACAGAGTTATTTGAAATCACAAGCTTTCGGAGCGTGGCCCCTTCATCAGGTGAAGTGAGAAAGAAGCACACAGAACACAGAATTTATGGATGGAGAGATCAAGGGCAAAGAGATCAAAAGATTATACAAATGTTGTGAGTGGAGTGTCGAATAATAAGCCCCTGCAGGTGATCTGAAGTGTTAGATGGTGTGAGTAAAGAGTCAACAGCTGAATTACAAGCGAAGGGATGACCTATAATCTGATTAAGTGAGGCAGAGAGATAATTACAAAAAAATAAAAATAAGGTGGAGCTGGAGACAAACTAAATGACTGGAAAAACATGATAGGTATCAGAGTCATATGCTGAGGGTCTAACCAAAGTAATCCAAAACCATACAAATTAATTAAGGTAGAGGGATCATAACAGTTTATTCAGCTGATGGTGACAAAACAGGAACATAAGGAAGATTTTACAGATACAGAACAGTGTGGTGGGATCTCATGTAGCACGACATGAACCCAATACCATGGTTGAGGCCATCCTCATGGGTACGGAACTTGGTTATCAGTTTCTGCACAGTGATTCTGTGTTGTTGTGTATCTTGAAGACCGCCTTGGAGGACGCTTACCTGAAGATCGGAGGCCGAATGTCCTTGACCACTAAAGTGTTCCCTGACTGGGAAGGAACATCCCTGTCTGGCGATTGTTGCGCAGTGTCCATTCATCCGTTGTCGTACCGTCTGCATGTCTTGCCAATATATCATGCCTCAGGGCATCCTTGCCTGCACCGTATGAGGTAGACAATGTTGGCCGAGTCACATGACTATCTGCCGTGTATATGGTGGGTGGTGTTCCCACGTGTGATGGTAGTATCCATGCCGATGATCTGACATGTCTTGCAGAGGTTGCTGAGGCAGGATTGTGTGGTGTTGTGGTCAATGTTCTCCTGAAGGCTGGGTGGGTTGCTGCGAACAATGGTCTGTTTAAGGTTTGGTGTTTGTTTGAAGGCGAGAAGTGGAGGTGGAGGGAAGATCTTGGCAAGGTGCTCATCATCATCGATAATGTATTGAAGGTTGCGAAGAACATGGCCGCTCCGGGGAAGTACCGGACAATGAAGGGTACTCTATCAGTCATAACCTGTGTCTGTCTTCTGAGGAGGTCATTGTGGTTTTTCACCGTGGCACGTTGGAACAGGCGATCAATGAGTTGAGCATCGTATCCTGTTCTTATGAGGGTGTACTTCAAAATCTTTAGCTGTCCATCACATTCCTCCTCATCTGAGCAGATCCTGTGAATGCACAGGACTTGTATGTAAGGGATGGCTTCTTTAATATGTTTAGAGTGGAAGCTAAAGAAGTGCAGCATCATGAGGTTATCTGTGGACTTGCAGTAGAGTGAGGTACTGTAGCGTCTGTCCCTGATGGAGATGCATGCGTCCAAGAATGAGACTGATTCTGAAGAGTATTCCGTGGTGAGTCTGATGATGGGATGACACTTGATATTGCTATGTAGCCATTTCAGTGATTAAAGTTTTCAAGAAGGCTTGTAGCTTGGGTTGTGGATGACGTTGTAGACATGTTCGCCGAGCCGGTGGATTTGATTGCAAACGTTTTATCACCCTGCTAGGTAACATCATCAGTGCACCTCCGGTGAAGCGTCAGTGTTCTGTCCCGCTTGTTATGTATAGGCCTCGGTTTGATGAAGCTGGTTGGTATTACTTCCGGTTTTGTTACTCAGTGGTTTGTACACAGGGTCTAATTCAATATGTTTGTTGATGGAGTTCCAGTTGGAATACCAGACCTCCAGGAATTCCCTGGTGTCTCTCTCTTTGGCTTGTGCAATTATCGATGTGTTGTCCCAGTCGAATTCGTGTCCGTCGTTATCCGTGTGTAGTGAGACAAGTGTGTCTCTTGGTGGCTGGTTGGTGTTCGTGTATCCATATAGTCAACTTTCTTCCAGTTTGGCCTATGCAGTGTTTCTCACAGTCCTTGCGTGGTATTTTGTATATTACCCCAGTTTTGCTGGTTTTGGATATGGGATCCTTTACATTCATCAGTAGCTGTTGTAGGGTGGTTGTCGGTTTGTGGGCCACCCTTGTACCTAGGGATCTGAGTACTCTTGTGGTCATCTCTGATATGTCCTTGATGTATGGTAGGGTGATTAGAGCATCTGGTTGTGTTGTGTCTTCCTCTTGTGGTCTGTTTCGGGACACTATTTAAACAAGCCACAACACATCAAGACACTATTTAAACGAGTCACAACACATTGCAACAACTCAGAACAACGCAAAGCAGAACAGGAGCACTTATACGGAGTCTTTAAAAGAAATGGATACCTGAAAAGCACAATCCGCTGTTACTTCAGAGACAGACCGTTTGAATGATTCCTCGCCATGATTCCAAAGGAAGAAAATGTTATCAATGTATCTGGTGTGTAGCATTGGTCAGAGGGCCTGCACAGTGAAGAAATCTTATTCAAACTAGTTTAGTTAGACCCTCAGTATGTGACGGTTATACCTATCATGTTATTCCAAACATTTGGTTTGTCTCCAGCACCACCTTATTTTTAATTTTTTATAATTATCTTACTGCATCATTTAATTGGATTATAGGTCATCCCTTCACTTGTTATTCAGCTGTTGACACTTTACTCACACGTCTAACGTTTTGGATTACCTGCAGAGACTTTGTTATTCGAAACTCCACTCACACCATTTTGAATAATCTTTTGATCTCTTTGCCCTTGATCTCCCTATCCATAAATTCTGTGTCTATGTGCTTCTTTCTCACTTCACTTGATGAAGGGGCTATGCTCCAAAAGCTTATGATTTCAAATAAATCTGTTGGACTATAACCTGGTGTCATGCGACTTCCAACTTTGTTCCACCCCAGTCTGACACTGGCACCTCCACATCATGCTCCTAATGATTTCATAAACCACTATAAGGTCACCCCTCAGCCTCCGACACTCCAGAGAAAATAGCCCCAGCCTATTCAGCCTCTCCCTGAAGTTTAAACCCTCCAACCTTGGCAACATCCTTGTAAATCTTTCCTGAACCCATTCAACTCAGCAATTTGAGAACCAGGGAAATCCATATCGGAATTTTTGACTATGTTAAGACGACTGGCAGAGGCATGTGACTTTGGTTTAACCCTTAATGAGATGCTGAGAGACCGTTTGGTATGTGGAATTAATGATGTAATAATGCAAAAGTGCCTACTAGCTGAATCCCAGCTGGACTTCGAACATGCACTACAATTGGCTTTATCATTGGAAAATGCAACAAGTTGGGTATTTGAGTTACAGGATATTCCAATGGAAGTAGTCACTCTCTCCAGTCTGAATGAGTTTGGGGAACGCTAGTGTGTGAAGGCAATTGTATAGCCTCACTCAGGACATATCATAAACCGCAGGACTCTAGGTCAACCCATAGGAAAACCCCAAAACAAAGCCAAGCCTCGGCCAAATGGTTAAAATTTTTCTTCAGGGTCCAGGCCAGCAAGCTATTGTAGTTGCTGCCGGTATGCAGACCTGAAACTGCAATAGTCCCACTAGATCTAAACTGAGTAAGGGAACACATAGGCCGGTATCCAGGAGAGTGCACACTCTGGAAAATACACCTACACCTGGTTTGGAACAGTCAAATCACAACCGATCAAAATAAACATCTGATTAAATGGTCAGAGATAGCAGGAACTGCAGATGCTGGAGAATCCGAGACAACAAGGTGCAGAGCTGGATGAACACAGCAGGCCAAGCAGCATCATAGGAGTAGAAAGGCTGACATTTCGGGCCTAGACCCTTCATCAGAAAATGGTCACCTGGTTCTACTGGAGGTCGATACCGGTGTGGCCGTTTCAGCCATCACAGAATCAGTCTTTAACAAAATTCGCTCTCAACTTCAACCCTTAAGCTTGCGCGAGACCTACACTGAGAACCGATATCAGAGAATCTTTACAGATTAAAAGTATAATTTCAATTCCAGTCTCTTATGAGGAGCAGCTCATTCAGTTACTGCTGACTGTAGTGAAAGGGCCCAAGCACTAACTCTCTTTGGACATGCATGCAGGTAACTTCATTTCATTAGGTAAATAATCTGATCGCTCCTATTTTAGTCTAAAATGGATAACCTCACACTTGTTTACATTGAACTCCATCTACTGCCAGTTTTGCCCATTCACTTAGTCGACCAGTATCCCTTTATTTTATGCTATCATGTACATATCTACAATGCCACTTAACTTTGTGTCATCAGCAGATTTGGATATATGGCTTTCAATGCCACTATCCAAGTTGTTAATAAATAATGTGAATAATTGAGACCCTGACAAAGATCCTTGTGGGACACCACATCCTGCTAATTTGAGTAGCTACCCAATACCCCTATTTTCTGTCACCTGCCACTCAACCAATTTCCCAGCCATGTCGGTAATATGTCCTTAATTCTGTGAGTTACCTTAGTTAACAGTTTGTTATGTAGAATTTATCAAATGCCTTCTGGAAATCCATATAAACAACATCCATAGGCATTTCCCTGTCCACTACCTTAGTCATCTCTTCAAAACAATCAGTGAGGTTTGCCAGACTTGACCTGCCTGTTATGAATCCATGCTGGCTCTCCATGATTAACTGAAAATTTTCAAGGTGTTCAGTTACCCCATCCTTAATGATAGACCCCACCTCTTTGGAGGGATGTGTGTAATGCTGCTATGTATGGATTCTCTCAGCAACAATTGGGTGAAGCATATTTCAGAATGTTCAACATAGACAGGTCGTAATAGGCATACTTTCAGATCAGCCGTCTCAGGCTTCCTTTCCCTATGACTGACTGGTCTTTTCAGCCCCAGAAGTAGAACATTCTACCCATATGAGGAGAAGATTACATCCCTAAAGGGAGAATAAAATTTGAGATGTGATATTGAAAATAAAATCAAGCCCTACGAACGGTTCCAATAGGAAAGTCTGTCTTTGTGTTTATCTGTATCCACAGCTGTCTTAAATAATTGACCATTATATTTAATAGGTATGTGAACAAAGATTTAGCATCAATGTACGTCATCAATTCAACGTCCATAACTACAAGGTGCCAACCTTCTGTGATCATTGTGGCTCCCTTCTGTATGGGCTGATGAGGCAAGGGAAGCAGTGTAAAGGTAATCCCGTCCGTAAGGCACTCTGTCTTTACTTCCTGAAGTAAATGAGAAAAGTAGAGTTTGTACATTTACAGAGAGCAGGTGGTTATGGCAACAGACAAAGTGAAATAGCAGGCACTGATTTTTAGCAATACAGACAGGATTTTCAAATGTGTAAAAGGTAGGGGATTTAATTATCTTGACAACTTGACAGTTCCCTTGATTTAACAATGAGTTTATCCATTTTTTACACACATTCATTTATACTTGATCCTAAAGGGCACTTGACTTCCCCCACAGGGCACTTACCCTGCCCCAAAAGTGTCCTTGAAACTATCAAGAAGGAATAGTAACTCTCCAAAAGGGTTCCCTACATTTCTATGAACTCTAGCAGCTCTAGACCTTCTCCTGAAAAGTGTGTAAAGTACACGTGTCATGCTTTTGACATCCCAGTTGTGGAAATTGAATCTAATTTAAGGCAGTTATATTTTTTCATGTATAACGGACCCCATGACCTCAGATGTGCAAAGAACAAATTGCTCCTAATCCTCACTATGTCCAAATTAAAGTTTTTGAAGACTATATTGAGAATGTGGTCCTGAAGCATCTATTTCACTCAATGTTTAATCCTGTTTCCTCAATGCTGTTTGCAGGGCAGTGCTTCTGAAATGTGTATAAAATCAATTAATAATTCTGTTCGAGCCAATCAGGTAGAACTCGTCTGAGTTAAAATGTCACCAAAATAATTTTGTCCAGAAACAATCTGCTAACAGCCATTTGACGCTGTCACCAAAATCAAAATGAACACTACTGAACTGTATTGACATTTTAAAGTTGAATTAAGATTCTGTCTCTGTGTTTAAGTGGACTTTCAAAGATCACAGAAGTTTTCTTTGAAAAGAGGAGCATGAGAAAACCTTCCTACATCCCAAGGTAGATGTTGCTAGCAGACTGCATTTCTTTTGGTCAACAATTCTTTTGGTCAACTTGCTGCCATTGGAATAGTAACAGGAATGACAAAAAGATTACAATCAGGAATAAATAGAGGGTGTTGAATTCTACCAGCTGTATACCTCTTCAACTCTGAGCTGTTCTAAAAAACACAACCAAAAGATAAATTCCTTCTCGGACTTAATTACAGGATTGTGGTAATGAACTGGAGTGTCTGTCACTAATACAGACAATCAGCACAGTGTGGTCCCTTTTAATAATAGCCGTTTAATAGATGCCCTGTCAGCGTAGGAATCCTGAGATCGTACAGACTCCTTTATCAAGAGAGTCAGTGGCCTGCTGATGGTTATGTGAAGAGAGTCAGAGCGGCTGAGAGAGCTTGTGTTATTTCCTGGATATCTATCAAGATCTGGTCAATATGAAGGTGTTACATAATATGCTGGACATGTAGAATTCCACAGGGAAGTTGTTTTTTCCCTTTGGCAGTTTTAAAGAACTGATATTCCTGACTCGGGTTTATTCTCCGTGAAACACTTACATAAAATAATGTCTCTCCTCTTGACAGTTTGCAAAATGAACATTCACATACGTTGTGAGAACAACGTTGCCCCAAGCTGTGGAGTAAACTCTGTGGAACTCGCTAGGAAGCTGGCAGAGATGGGACTCAGTGCAGGAGGCATCTCCACTTTAAAGAGGAGGCAGACGGTAAGGATGATGCTGAACTGCCTCACTGCTATTTCTAACATTGAATAATGGAGGTTTGCACTTGTAATCAATGGCGAATGATGCTGTCAGTGATGCAGTCCTTGTTTTGGCTGCCCTGTTTTCTACATTATAATCTCAAAAAGCTGTTCTTTGGCTCATGTGTTTTGCATCCTGAGATTGAAAATATGCTACAGAAATATAGCCGTTGTTTATTCCAATTCCACACTTCCATTGGGAACCATGCCTATCAATAACCATGCCTGGAATTTCAGGTGGATGATTTCCAACTATCTTAATTAGACTTCCCTAAAACTGATGGATGGCACAAATCTCTTAACGCTTATTCTTATTCTGTACAAACTTATGTGGCTCTGGAAACAAAGCACATCTATCTTGTACACACTGAGCCTTTTGGACTCCATTGGCGGGAGGAACTGGCCTGGGCTTCGGTTCCAGCTCATTGTCCTGGCCCCACTGGTTGCTGATAAGAACAGGATTGGATACAGTTGTGTTGTTTCAGATGCGCACATGAATAAGCACCAGACAGACAGACAGGAGAGCGAGGACTGTCCAACAGTGATTCAAATTGCATAGAGAAGTGATTGGAGAGAAAAGAAAATGGCGCAGAGTTATAGTGGTTAATCCAGATCGAATGTGTGTCTATGTGTAAGTGTCCATTTGTATGTGAGTGTGTGTGTGAGTCACAAGTGTACACTCTCCTTGCTGTGTAGGTGCACAAATGAGAGTATTAAGCTCCGTATACTGTATAGAAACAACGTTGGCTGCAATGCAAGGCATCAGACTGGGGGAATAGAATGGAGAGGGAAGAGATTGGCAGGAAGAACAAAATCCCATTAGAAATCTGGCATGTGTTTAAAGCACCCTACATTCAGATGGTGTCTCTGTACAGCCTGACGGGGTGAGCGTATATAAAACCAGGAACAAAGTTGCTGCCCCAGGGCCTTCTCAACGCTACAGAGGAGATTGAGGCAACCTGGCACTGGGTTGCAGGTTCTGGGAATACAAAACAGGACTTGATCATGGAGCTCAGTATTTTTCACAGTTATTCCCAAATTGTACTATCATACAAAGCTCTACACCAGCAATGCAAAGTTCTATATTTATGATGCAGACCTCTTTCGCTATATTCCTCATTGAAAGAAATTGTATATTGTAGGACACCAACTTTATGTTATTGCATGTTTGTTCTCGAACAGAAATTCTGACAAAAGAAGCATTGCCAGTGTTGGTATCACGTTGCGAGGATCAGGTGTTGGCTGTGACTCAGTCACAAAGTACAGTTTTAAGCAATACAAAAGAAACAATGGCAAGATTGTGAAGGAAGAGCAGGGTGTGGGACTAATTAGAAGTTCTTTTAGGGAGGTACTCTGTTACAATATTGATGGGTTAATGGACAAATTCCTTACTATGTGATTTTATGAAATAATCTCTGTCCCTGAGAAAACATTTTGTTTCACTCTGACAGTTGTATAATCCAGGAGCATTAATTAACTGGTATGAGTTATTCAGTCCACTGTGTGAGACAATAACTCTTTGTATCTATCTTTTCTCGAAAAAGAGGCAAAGTCGTCAAAGCCACGAAGAAAACGAGGCCCTAGGTAATGCAGTCGAGAACAGTAACAGCCAGCAAGTACAACGTAAACTGGGCATTGATGATTTCACCTTCATCAGTGTCCTAGGGAAAGGTAGCTTTGGGAAGGTAAGTGACACCCATAAACCAGAGAAGCCATGAGCAATAGGACCGAATTTTCCTCTGGGCTCAAGAAATCCTGACCTGTGCACTTCTGCTGTACGCCAACTGCACGTTCGACCCATACATGACTTCACAAGCTATTTTCAACTGCGTTTTTCAACTCTGACTCCAGCATCGGCAGTTCTTACTATCTTCAACTGGGATCAGATTTGCAGTGCAGTTTGTGACCCACATTGGCATGTGGTTGCGGAAGCAGGCCATTTAGAAAGCCAACCTCAGTTCTCCAACACTGCAGCCCAGCTCCTAACAGTGCTTGCAAACCTCTCAAAACCACCTCTCTCCCCTCCATCGCTGCTACCCTATGCCCTACGCACCTCAGAATCCATGCAACGTCGAGGAAAAATATTTCATATTTCTTGGGGGGAGAAAGTAAATCTCTCATGACCTTAAGAAAAAGCCTCTGTATCACTGAGACTGAGAAGAAATGCTTTCTGCCATGTGAAAATATCCTTGTAATATTCACATTTTTTTTTTAGCTTTGATCAACAACTCAGAAATCACATACAAGGAACAATCTGTTATCACAAACCTTTGTAGCTCATCCTCCCACCCAGCTTTGCATCATCTGAAACCCTGCCCAACCACATTAGCAAATACTCCATCAAGGCCCTCAGTCTGGTCCTGCCCAGGGCTAACCTGTCCACTTTGTACTGTTTCCTATGTCTCACTAATCTGAAACCTTTCCTCTCATACCGTCTTCTTTTTCACTTGCATCCTAACTCCCTATATTCTACTTTCAGGACCTCATCCCTCGTTTTAACTTTTGATATGGGTTGTGGTATACATCAGGACCAATGGCTGTTCATCCTCCCAGTCCAGGATACACTGTAGCTGCTTCATAATGTCCTTGACCCTAGCACCTGGGAAACAATATATCATCATGCAATCTTGCATGCAGCCACAGAAATGTCTATCGAATCCCCAGTCACTGTAGCCTTCCCACAGTACTCCTCCCTCCTCTCCAGTGCAGCAGATACCAATCATGGTGCAATGAATTTGGCTGTAGTTACTGTCCTCTGAGAGGCTGTGTCCCCCATTAGTATCCAAAGCAGTCAAATAAAACGAAGAACTGTGGATGCTGGAGATCTGAACCAAACAAAAACAAAAAGTGCTGGAGAAACTCAGCAGGCCTGGCACCATCTGTGCAGAGAAAGCAGAGTTGACATTTCGAGTCCAGTGACCCTTCTTCAGAACTGCCGTACTGTTCTGAAGAAGGGTCACTGGACTCAAAACATTGATTGTCTTATTGAGTTCCTCCAGCAATTTCTGTTTTTGTTTGTATCCGAAGCAGAGGATTTTAAAAAAATGTAGTGTATGGGGTGGGTAAAAAACAGGAGATTGGCAGAAGGTAACGATGTTTATTTAATGAGCCAGTGCAGACACAATGGGCCAAATGGTCTCCTCCTGCACCATAACTATTCTCTGATTCCTCCAAAAAAAAGCTAAGTGTGGCCATGCACAGACTGAAGCTTGGCTCTGCACCCAGACATACGTTCAACCATTGGCTAATAATATTATCTAGTAGAGTCATGTAAGATGCTGGAACAAAACAAACCACCACACACACTGCTTGCTGTTTGCTTTGCTCAGCATATGGTAGTGGAATGACAACAGGCCTGCTGCTAATCTTTTATTATTTATGAACCAATCTGTTATTGTGAAGCAATTCAGTTATATTCTCCACAGCACTGAGAGTAACATGACTATCACGAACAAACCTAGTTCTGGCAGCGTTATCATTTTTCCTCCTTAAACAAAATAATCAGCACATTATCTGGAGGCAAGTTCAGGTCCCATGATCTTGCTTCTGCCTGATTGTGTTCAAGTTTTTCAGATGGGGTTGCCAGGTGCAGGGAATATTAGTGTTCTTTTTGATGATTGGAAACACAGTCTAGAGCAAAGAATTTATTACACTACAAACTTTTAAATTTGTTTTAGAAGTCAGTTTGCACACTTTGTTTTAATGTTATGGGTCTACATCCTGAGAGTTATCCTTATCATAATAGGTTAACAGTCAGGAAATGTTTTTATAACATCAACTACAAGATTGAATTCAGCTTTGATTGTGCTTAAAATTAGGTTTGTAGCTTTTTAGTGTAACTAAATACATGATTCATTATCATCTTCAAGAGAAGAGAAGTCAAAACAGAGATTTCTTTCAATTTTTTTTAGGAAGAATAGCAGTACATAATCAGATTAAACACATTTTAACAGGCTAAACCATTTAGAGAAAAATAAAGTGTTCATTTGTTTCTCTGTTTTGTATTGAGCAGAAATGTCACTTTCATAACTTGCTGTCTGACCCCAGGTAATGCTGGCTGAGTTAAAAGGCACTGAAGATGTTTACGCTGTGAAAATATTGAAGAAAGACATGATTCTCCAAGATGATGATGTGGAGTGTACGATGACTGAGAAACGGATCCTGTCACTGGCCAGAAATCACCCGTACCTTACACAAATCTTCTGTTGCTTCCAGAGTGTGGTAAGCATTACAGAGATCAATTAAATCAGATCCTATTACAAAGAGTGTCTCCGTTAAATGCCTTGCCTCATCCAGACCACATTATAATTTTTCCACATTCTGATTCAACATGATAGAATGAGATCCTTCTGGAAACCAAAGATAGTCAAGTGTGTGCATATTTTGTCCTGCATGCCTGGTATAGTAAAATGTTAAACAAGGGAATTAATATTGTGAGCATTATGTAGTATTTCCAGCACAGAAAATGGCCATTCAGCCCAACTGGTACATTCTGCACCAGTGTTTACGCCATTCCAACACCATCTAATCCCATCATCATATCCTTCTTTCTCCCTCATTTCTAGTGTCTTGATCTCCCTTTAAATGCATCAATGCTAGTCACCTCAGCTACACAATTGTGTTCCATTTGCTAACCATCATTGGGTAAAGAAATTACTTCTGAATTCTCAATATTGAATAATTAGATTATATTGATGGTTTCTCGTCTCACCCATGAGTGGAAACTTCTTTTCTCTTTTCTCTTTTTGAGAGAAAACAGCTCCAGTCTGTTCAATCTTTCCTGATAGGTAAAACTTGCCGGTTCTGTTATCATTCCAGTAAATATGTTTAACACTTTCCCCAACACCTCTATAGCTTCCTATACAATAAGAAACCAGAATTCTTGCCGCTCATCTCATTTTCCTGCCCGAGATTCAACTGCTCCAATTTCCTCCTCATGAGGCTCCTGACCTTAATTCAGCCCAAATCTCGTCGCACACTTTGTCACCCCACTAAATCCTGGCCACCTTCCAGTCCCATCATTACTGTGTTCACTAGCTCCCAAGTATTTGCAATAAACTTAAAACCCTAGCATTTATTTTCAACTGTTTCCAAAGCCTTGCACTGTCTGATCTCTGTAACCTCCTTCACCCTTAAGTACTTTACTGCACCCACCTTCAGCTACTTTTTTAAATTCATTCACGGGATGAGAGCGTCACTGGCTAGGCCAGTAATTATTGCCCATCTCTAATTGCCCAGAGGGTAGTTGGGAGTCGACCACATTGCTGTGGAGTGACATCTGGGCCAGACCAGGAAAAGATGGGTTTCCTTCCCTAAAGGATACTAGTGAACCAGATGGGTTTTCCCTTGACAGTCAACACTGGTTTCATGGTCATCGTTAGACTGTTAATTCCAGATTTTTAATTGAATCCAAATTCCACTATCTGCCATGGTGGGATTCAATCCTGGGTCGCCGGATTATTGGGTCTCCAGATTAATATTCTAATGATAATACCATTAGGTCATTGCCTCTCCTGTGCACATATAATTCTGTGTCCATCGGGAGAGCATGAAAAGCTGGGCAGTTCCTATCGTGTTTACTTTGAAAGGTAGTTTCCCTTTACTGCTCAAGAGAGTCATCCCAACTCCACCAAGAAGAATAATGACATTGTAAACGTCAGTGAAAGAAGTAAATCATGGATGGGCTGGTGGTGGGGAATGATGAAGAGAATACTAAGCCCTGGTAGTTTGTGAAAAAATACTGCAGTCCTTTTGTTGTGCTTGACCCATTTCCCATGTTATTGCTTGTGCAGTACTTATGCCCTAACAGCAGAGGGATCTAGCAGCATTACACAGCTCACTTGATAACTGAGTTTAGGTTATTGTACAAATAGGAGAGTCTGAAAATAATTAGTATTTGATGTTTTTTAAAAGTACCTTTTAATGAAGATTGGGTTCATTATTGTCATCATGTGACTTGACTGGTTGATATATCTCCGAGTTTACAATAGCCAAAATTTTATGTCAGGAGAAATTGTGGGCAGAATCTAACCGGGCTCTGAGCAATGTGGGCATGCTCACGATAAGTGGTAGAATCAGATGGTCACCTCGATGCCAAGATCATCTCTATGCAACTTCTGCCCCACTTTCCCCCTCACCCCTCACCCCCCACACCCCATCTTTTGCCCGAGTGGCATGGTGAGATTCTTGCCAGAGGAGTTCCCAATTGACGCTTTTTGTTGCTTGTTAAACAGCATGTTAACAGCTTAACTCACCATAAGTTGTGATCTTACCAAACTTGGCGTAAAAACCTACCGTTGGGTAAATGTGACAGAAATCAGAATGGGTTCCCGGAGGGTTCAGCTATCTGTTTACTCCAGAGGACATCCATGTTGGACACTGGGCTCCAACAGCTCAGGACAACTCCAGCCCAATGCACTCCACATCCAAGGACATTGGCATTCGACAGATGCCAGCCTCTCACGGCACATCTCTGATGCATTTACAGGGCACTTCAGTGCTGCAAATTGGGCTGCACTGGCACTTACCTACATTGTAATACTTTGACTCTCAATGATTTGTGCCCAGCTCATCGACTGAAGCAAGCTGCCAACTCCAGGCTCTTCATTCCCTATCATAGTCCTCACTCACTCTGAGCCTACCTGGATGCTTGCAGCATCCCTGCCTTGCATTTTTGTCCTTTGCTGTCTCAAACTGAGGTACTAGGCTCACATTACTGCCATTTGGCATAGACACAAAACCTGGCCAGAGAGTGGTGAGATGCTCAAAGAACAGCACATAGTAAGATGGGGCAGATATACGCTGCGATTATCACAGCAAGGGCTCAAATGGTGAGTATAGTAAAATACTGTGAGAAAACTCATTCAGTCAAAAGGTCAGAATCACTCCGCCAAATGTAATGCAACTCACACTAAGCCAAAAACAATGGCGAGATTTCAACAGTTACTTTCACACATTTTCCCTTTTCCACAGTGATTAGAAATGCATTTTAGCACAACATCCTCAATGAGGGATTTGGGTCTTGTCTGAATCAGTCAAGGAATTGTGTATTTTGTTAACCAATCAGACTGAAGAAGTTTTATAGGGCCCCTCTGAGTTTGAATACTGAATACAATGCCAAATCTGGTACAGAAGCAAAATAAAGAAGAAAGAAAGATTAGCTTATAGGGGAAAATAAAAGAAACATAAAAAGATTTTAAAATTTTTATTTTACATTTTAGAAATCTGAAACAATATCAAAGGATTTAGGATTGAGCTGAGGAGGAACTTCTTCACCCAAAGGGTTGTGAATCTGTGGAATTCTCTGCCCAGTGAAGCAGCTGCGGCTACATAGTTAAATGTTTTTAAGGCAGAGATAGATAGATTTTTGAACAGGAAAGGAATTAAGAATTATGATGAATGGGCAGAGAAGTGGAGCTGACTCCACGAAAAGAACAGCCGTGATCTTATTGAATGGCGGAGCAGGCTCGACAGGCCCACTGGCCTATTCCTGCTCCTGTTTCTTATGCTTTTATGTACTTAAAGAGATTCCATCCTATACAAGTTCACTTTCAATGCCAGAAAGGTCATCTGCACGTACTTACGACTTATTACCCCATTCGAAATCCACTTCCCCACAAGCCTTCACTTTTTTATGAAAAGTTCAATGGGTAATTGATGACTAATTACTCCAACTTCACACACTGTGTGTGTTGCAACTGATTATTTCATCTCTGGGTTAGATACCCACTGGAGGAGCAGGGCAACAGGGAAGCAACTTGCTGACTTCGACAGATTGAGATGCTGCCTGATTCACTGCTCATAACTGTGAGTGCTGAAGGCCTGAGATTTACAATAAGAAAAATAGTAAGGCTGTTTTGTTTTCGCCTAATGCTGCTGTCTTCAACAACACTATCCTTGAATAACCCTGAGGCATTTTATTGCTTTGATATTGTTCCTGTTTTAATTTGGACTCTAGGATATATATCAATAAACTGGTACCCATCATTCTCACCTAGTAAATTTGGCTGCCTTATCCCAGGAGCTAACTTGAAACCTCCAGTTTTTCGCAGATTTATGCCATAGCACTTGCATTTAGTTGGAACAATTCCAATCTTCAAAATCCAAATTAAGTTGAAGTCAATATAACAGTTGTTACTGAAAAATTGAAATGCACTGTTTCTTCATGTGACAAATTCCTGTGGGTGAAAATTGCATCATATTGATTCTGACAATGTGAATACTGATCATTCTCTTGTTAGAGGAAAGCAGAATGATAGAAAGAGGCGTTTTCAAACAACTGAACATGTGATGGTGGTGGTGTGTTATAGTTCACTCAGGAAGTCTAAGTTGCTATGGAAATGTGAATTTTATCTGCATTTCATAGTCTGGAGTTATGGATATGTGATGAACGGTATCTAATTTAAATATATTAGTTTCGTTTTTGGAGTTCGATTTCAAATTTGAGACAGATATGTGCTGGTTACTTCTCTGCAGGACTTCCTCTTAAGAAAAGAGAGAGGTCTAAGAGTCTTTCCGAAAAACTGAGGAGGTTAGTTCATTGTTATCAGAAAGCAAGTCACAACAGACTCTTGTGGTATTAATGGAAAGATGGTTATGCTGTTGGGTTTATGACCGGTAGAATCAAATATCAGGACATTACCTTTATTTTCAGTTCAGAAAAGTCTAGGATGAACACTTATTTTCTTTTTAAATTCAGTTCAGAACTTAAGAAGAAGACACCAGGTTGACATTTAGCAGTGTTTAATTCCTCTCCTAGACAAAGGAGTCAAGGCAGATCAGGGAACTTGTGATCTCATCAGAAGAGATTAATTTGTAAAACCTCCAAGCCAGGAGAGTTTGGTTAAAATCTGCAAAAGTTGAAGCTGTCGGATTTGCAAAATGTTCACCTTGGCGGACTTGGAAGGGATTCATCTATGATCCACACAGTCCATGATAAGGACGTTGTCAACAGTAAGTCAATTAGAACAAACAAGTTGAGATAGAGACCTTGAATCCCTGTAATGGATAGTGTCAGAAAACAAGTTGAGACTTTGTTGCTTGGGTTTTAAATAATTCTTTTATATATTAAACTTTTTTCTATTATTTTCTTTAAAAAAAGCCTACAGCCTCATGCAACTATGTCTCAGTGACTAAAGACTACATTAATGATCTAAACAAAAAGAATATAATCTATCAAACCAACTTTCATCCTGGGATCTGGCTTGTCCAATAGTACCATC